TTTGTATAATGAGATTTTCTTAAAATATTACAAATTTTCAGTAAGAAAGAATTCAGCACTTTTTAGAGTAAATGCTAAATGCATATACAGTACATATATAATAAACTTCCTTTTGACTTGAATGTCAACATCTCTATAAATTATCCTTGAGTTTTCATTTGAAAAAATGAAATATATGAACCTCGGACAATAACATGCACACCTTAAGGCATGAAGGGAGCCAAGGTGATTAGAGGTGTATATCCTGGTAACCACAGAGCATAAATTCTGCTGCTGACATTTCAAAGGACCGTCAAGGGGCCTTTTGACAGAAGTCTCACATCTGCTGTTTTTGACTCAACAACATAGCATACAAATCTTTGATCTTGTTACACTTTCTAGTATTCATTGTTGTGTGCTTTTTCATTCAAGATCATTAGCTTGAGCTCCTGGAGGTACAGCAGGTAAATAATATTCAGATGTGGAACCGCTTTGCAAAGACAGGGACCCAAACTGTTCCCCTGAGATGGAAACAACTTGCTAAGATGTTCTAAGAGCAACACAAGGACTTACTCAGGTTCAAGCATGAAATGAAACTGTATATTCAATGTTTCCCAGGCAAAGGTGGAAACGTTGAAAGATGGAGCGGGGATCCCCTAATTATATATTATATAAAATTGTATTATATCAAACTGGTCCTATAGCCACTCTATTACAGATGGAGTAATTTAATGAAAGTAACTTTGCCCTGGGATTATTAAAGTATTTCTTATTTTGATTTAGATTCCTCATTGATGGGACAGGTGTGGTGAATGAAATAGTGTTCAGCTTGAATGAATGTGTACATTGATGACTGAAAGACATCTTCTGCCCTCATTTATCTGTTTACTACAATGTGTGAAATTCATGTTAATGTAGATTTAAAGACATTTCAATTAGTGGAAAAAAATGCAGGGGGGAATATAAAAAGAAAATCTAATCAACCAAAACTTTCGTGACTCCCATGCAGTACCTCCGTGGACCCCCTGCTGAAGACCTCCGATCTAGAGGATCAGTGTAGCTGTCCACTATGTCTAAATGTTTGTATTGTACAGAAATATAATAGACTGTCTACAGATATGGTGCTTATTGCTGATTATCTGTGGTATTGGCAAATTGTATAGATTGATTTTACACAGGAGGATTAATATCACCAGAAAAGGTGTTCCAGAAGAAAACAAATGATCTAAATAATGCATGGTACTTTATTTTCAATAGATAAAGTATAGAAACACAAAGCCTTGGTATAGACCTCTTAAGCTGATTTATGGGAGCTCTACCAATTCTACTAAAAATAATGGTCAAGCAAGGGGAAACACAAGAAATAACAGTAAGTTTCCCATTTCTGGAAGTTCAGTGGAATAACCCAACAACTGAAAGATCGCACTACTGCAACACATCCCACGACCATGGATAGGCAGCAGTAGCACAAGAAATACTTTCACCATCCCAAAGAAAACAAATAAAATAACTTTATAGACAACGAAACTGGAGACATAAAAAAGAGGTTAAACACAGGGCAGGCCTTCTCTAGTTAGAAGGAGCTAAGAAAAGATTATAAAAGTGATGCTGAACAAGTAAGTGAACTGCACTGCCTAAATTCATGTAAAGTTAACTTTTTTAATTGGTTCAAATAGAGTGTTGCTAAATACCATCATATCAGTAGATCCTGTAAACGTATACCAATTTTGTTGGTACAGAATTGTAGGTTTACATGGGTTTAGTAGCTTTCAAAGCTGCATTGAATGCTTGCTTTTTGACACAGTAAATGCAAACTTTTAACTTCACCTCAATGCTTTTTGACATTTGGTGGAAATTCATGTTTGAGGAAGTGAGGTTCCAGGATGTAATGCTCATTTGAGTAAATCTGACACTATATCTTTGTAAAGCATATCTGAAGGGGGAAAAATATGTACCTAATAAATGGTTGGTGACTTTATGTATATTTTACTCTATTATAAAAAAAATCCACATGTTTGGATTGGACTAATCACAACAAATGCATCCAACTGTTTTTTTTTTTTTATTCAAGCCAAAATAATAATTAAACACTCAAATATAATATGATAGTCATGTCTAAATGTGTTTATGCGAACCTCTGATTGCAGCTGCTTATTGCTGAACAGTAATTAGCTCATCATTGCTAATTAAGGACTGCAATCAGTTTAAGTCATTCTTATGTGTAAGCCTTTTTTGTAAACATAGTCATCCCCAGACCTGAAATGATGAGTGGGCCACCCGTTGAATTGGAGTTGGCTTTGCTCTTTCATGTTAAATGAGAGCAGCATCAGCAATGCAGGAACTGGTTAGAACGATAAACCTGTCAATGCCTGATTCTTCACTTCTGCTGTCACAGAGAGCAACAAAACAACCTTCACATTTCCCACTGGGGTGGAAGTGTGCAGAGTGTAAAAGTGCTCTTCTTCCTTCTGTCATAAAAATTCTGCACGAGCAACAATGTGTCAAAGCAACATCCTATATGTATAATAAGTGGGCTTACAAAGTCCCTGACTGTTTCCTCACCCCTTCAATGGCACATTGAAAAATCGATGGTTACATCCTTGTGTTGTAGCTCTCGTTAAAATTATGCTCTTCAGGACAGCTTCATACTGCCTCTGTGCAGAAATTTGCAGGATTACCAAAGAGCTTCCCACTGGAAGAACTCCGTTGTTCAGCAACTACTTGTTCTGTTGTGGCTGAAGTGGAATTTAAACTACAAACCAACTTAGTTATAATAGACAGTTGTTTACACAAGGGAACACACATATTACTTCTTACCAACTACTGTATTAGGGCTTAAAAAGACAATGCATTTTGCAGAGATTAAAACTCTTAAAAAACAAAAAAAAACAAAAACAAAAGCGATTTCAGTTTCAGTGTCCAATCAAACAACAGTGTGGAAGGGTGTAATAATTCAACAAGGTCAGATCATGTGTTTACATTTTGATTTTGTACATGGTCATTGTCCAAGCGCCCGCGGATCAGGTCGCCGAGGTCTCCGCCTCTGACTGCTGCCCAGCTCTGCTCGGGGAAGCCCTAGGCGCTCCCAGGCCAGCCGAGAGACGTAGACATGGACTGGTTGGGAGTTTGCCCAACCAGTCCATGTGTTTTGTGGACTTGGAGAAGGCATTCGACCGTGTCCCTCGTGCTGCCCTGTGGGGGGTGCTCCAGGAGTATGGAGTTGGGGGCCCTTTATTAGGGGCCATCCGTTCTCTATACAAGCAGAGCAGGAGTCTGGTTCGCATTGCCGGCATTAAGCCGGACCTGTTCCCGGTGCATGTTGGACTCCGACAGGGCTGCCCTCTGTCACCGGTCCTGTTCATAACTTTTATGGACAGGATTTCTAGGCGCAGCCAAGGACCGGAGGGGGTCTGGTTCGGGGACCAGCGGATCTCGTCCCTGCTTTTTGCGGATGATGTAGTTCTGCTGGCTCCCTCCTGCCAAGACCTACAGCGTGCGCTGGGGCGGTTTGCAGCCGAGTGTGAAGCGGCCGGGATGAGAATCAGCTCCTCCAAGTCCGAGGCCATGGTTCTCGACCGGAAAAAGGTGGCTTGTCCCCTTCAGGTTGGAGGAGAGTCCCTGCCTCAAGTGGAGGAGTTCAAGTATCTTGGGGTTCTGTTCACGAGTGAGGGAAGAATGGAGCGGGAGATCGATAGACGGATCGCGGCTGCTGCAATAATGCGGACGCTGCACCGGTCTGTCGTGGTGAAGAGAGAGCTGAGCGAAAAGGCAAAGCTCTCAATTTACCGTTCGGTCTACGTTCCTACCCTCACCTATGGTCATGAAATTTGGATCATGACCGAAAGAACGAGATCCCGGATACAAGCGGCTGAAATGAGCTTCCTCCGCAGGGTGGCTGGGCTCTCCCTTAGAGATAGGGTGAGGAGCTCGGTCATTCGGGAGAGGCTCAGTGTAGAGCCGGTTCTCCTCCACATCGAGAGGAGTCAGTTGAGGTGGCTCGGACATCTTCTTGGGATGCCCCCTGGACGCCTCCCTCGGGAGGTGTTCCAGGCACGTCCCACTGGGAGGAGGCCCGGGGGACGACCCAGGACACGCTGGAGAGACTAAGTCTCTCGGCTGGCCTGGGAGCGCCTAGGGCTTCCCCCAGCAGAGCTGGAGGAGGTGTCTGCGGAGAGGGAAGTCTGGGAGTCTCTGCTTAGTCTGCTGCCCCCGCGACCCGGTTTCGGATAAAGCGGGAGACGACGAGTACGAGTATGAGTACGAGTATGAGTACATGGTCATTGTTTTAATCCCTCCAGACCTCGTATTATTTTTTAAAATCTAAATATGTATTTATACCTAGTATGAAACAGGTATTATGGGACAGTTTACAACCAAATTAGGGTAAGAGGTTGACAAATTTACAAAATTTGCACAATATATCTGAGACTGATAGCCACAGATATAATATAAAGCTAATAAACATAAGAAGAAAAAAGACACCTGCTGGCTGCAGTTGAGTTGATATGATGCTAATTAAGTCCGTCAGTGACATTATCACAAATCCATTGACCTTCTTTGGTAATTTGTTAGTCCCAACAGATTCATTTCCAGGCAAAATCAAATCTACTAAAATGATATAACTGTACAAAGCTGCAGATAAACTCCACTTGACTAATTATAGACACATTTCATTACATTTCCTAAAACACTTGAAGAGCTGTTTATTCAAAGACTAGATCACTCCATGGATAATCATAACTGCCAGCCAGTATGATTTCAGACAAAGCAGATGCTCAACCTTTATCAAAACATGAACATGTTTCATAATTAAATTAACTGAAAACATTATATTTACAGCAGCATTGACAGAAAACTACTCTGCTGGAGGACCTGTTTAATTAAAAGAAAGCTTTTGGCACAGCTGTTCATGATGTTCATCTTAGTTTTTATGTTTTGGAAAAAAAAAGTGTATTTACACTTAAAATATATTAAAAAAGATTCAATTTTTAACTATTCTTTACCTCCTGTATTCTTTGCAGGCGTCTTCACTGCACCAGAAACTACATCCACATGCATCTGTTTGTTTCCTTCATGTTACGGGCTGTGAGCATTTTTGTAAAGGACAAAGTTGTTTATTCAAGTGCTGGATTGCAAGACTTTGACTCAGCCCTGCTGGATAACTTGAAATCAGTGAGCATTGCATCACTGGACAAGTCACAGTATGTAAGTATCAAGTTGTCTTTTGCAATATATTTTCTTTTTCTAAATGTTCTTTTATTTAACATTTCAAATTAGATTAATAATATTTTAAATAGTTAATATTAGGTTTAAAAAAAATCAAAGTTTTAAATCAGCTAAAATGGCCTTTCACCACTTTAGAGCGTTTTTAATGAGAGGCCTAATAGAATACAGTAAGTTGGGTGAAAAATGTTGCAGAAAAAAGGTCAATTCGGCTGTGGGAAAATACTTGTCGTGATTTTAAACCAGCGTTTCCCAACCTTCTTTGATTGTGTACTCCTTTGGGCATTTTGTCTTACCGTGAGTACCCCTCTCCGTCAAAAGTATTGATGACTGGAATGTACAATAACTGATTATAAAATAAGCATTTCATTCTTAGGCATTTTATTATTTCCTTCTCTAAGAAAAATAACATAAATATGATGCCCAGGATCACATTTAAACTCGAGGAATTGGAAACAAAATACCGAAAAGAAATTATAGTCAGACTGACTCCTTTTGTTTTATTTTGTTTTCATCAACTGAGCTTGCTTTGATCAGGTGTGGAAAAATCCAGTCCATTCCTCTGCCTGGTTTTAATTTGTGTCAGAGCTGAAGGTGAACTCAAACATATAAGAAAAACTGACTTTTTGGTTGAAAAAAAGCTTGTTTCATTTTCCAACTGGGTCCTCACAAAGCAGAACAGATCCTAGCCCTATTTTATTTTACTACCTAAGAAATAAAATATTTTCATGTACCCCTTGCAATGCATTGCGGACCACTAGGGGTACGAGTACACCCTGTTGGGAATCACTGATTTTAACCACATCCAATCATGATGTGGAAACTATGGAAGCCCCGACTTTCTCCCCGTCTCTCGGAATAAAGTTTCAAAACTACAGTGTGATGTCTGTAATGCTGTACTTTTAAGGGCTGTGTATACTCCCGCAGCAGTGTGTCACAGTTTGTCGCAGGTATGATACAGATATTTTTGATTTATGCAAAATTCTGAAGCATGGTGTTGTGAATAACTGTTATATTCAATGATGTTTATTGCACAACCCGGTAGGGGTGGCAGATATCTTATTTAATCAGATATTATTCGGACTGTCATATATTTTTTTTGAACACACGCCCTACTGGCTGTGTGTTAGAACAACAAATAAAAGTGTGAATTGAGCTAAAATTATGGTCAAACAGATAATTCTGCAAATACATGGTGTAAGTTCACCACAACTTCCATTTAAAAAATAAGAGCTTATTAAAAAAAAATCATTCAGCTCCAAGTCAAACATATTTCAGTTAAAAACCATTGACTAAAACCTAGTTAAACTCATATAAACTAGACTACTATGTACAAAGAGGAAGGGAAATATGGTTGAAAACTATATTACAGTTTAAGATGGATTTTGTGTTTGAAAACCAAAGTTTATCTTGAAGGATTTGGGATATGATCAAATTAGGTTTTCACTAATTTAGAGAGATGTAATGTTTTCAAACCAATTCACAATGCAAATCCATGAGGTATATAAAAGATTATTTGGCCATTCAAGCACAACTAGATCACATAAAAATACATGAATTGTTTTCCCTTACTCTCTGACATTAAATCAGACGAAAGTTATCCTGTTTCGGTTATCACCATAAATTTTATATTAGATAAATATGTGAATAATGTACAAAACTTCTTAAACTGTCTTTAGTTTAGTCTTTAGTTATGGTGTTCAGTAGAACTTGCTTAAAAGTGTTGAGTTTCCTTTCACAATTGTCTTACATTAGCAAGCCAGGGTTTTTGCCCTTCCCTACTGAAATAACTGATTTCATAGTTTAAGAATGTGGGATGGCCATGCACTTCAATTCAATTAGGTTTATCTTTACAGTGCCAGTTCACAATACATTTCATCTCAAGCCATTTATACAGAGACAATGCAACCAGATCATGCAGTTGGATTGGTAAAAAGTTTTACATCTATGGAAAACCAGCTGATTTTATTGAGTCATTAATCTTATACAGTAGGATACATTCCTATTAGATAAGCAAGTGGCAACTGTAGACAATCACTTCAATGGTGTTGTTGACTCTATAGTATTCTCTCACTTAGCATGAATACAGCGAAAATAAAGACCAAAATGTCTTTTTACCAGAAAGAAATCTCCTGCAGAACAAGGCTCAGAGCGGCCAACTGGGGGTTCAAAGAAATAAAAGCACACATACAAGAGGAACATAAAAGCACAGATCCATAAAAACATTAGTGGCTGTGTCTGGGAAAGATACAGTTAAGTGGATAAGTTCTAAGTGCATTTTCACACCAAAACAGATGAAAGAGATCTTACAGTCATTCATAGTTAGAGATTAGGCCATTGCTCTTTCTAGGAGAGAAACAGGACTAAACACTAAATAAATAGGCCCAGCTTTATAATTTATTATCCAAGATGTTGACAGCAGCAGCCATGGCCACATGAAGTGTGGGGTTCTGCAGCACTCCATAGTGGCGAGAGGGAGATTTTTAAAAAATGTATCAAAAATACTTTATTTTTTTGGAAAATGATTTAGACTTTTAGTATTAAATGTTTATTTTTGTTTTAATTCAATTATTTTGAGGTCTAATCAACACAAACCAGATGGTGACAAACCCAATTATTACCAGACCAGATTAAGCTATTATGTCTAGGAAAAGCAGAGGCTGTACTAACAAATACTGAAGAATGGGAGAAGAGACAAAATAAAGCCCATTTGGATGTAACAAAACATTAACTTTTCTTTTCCCTAAGCCACACAGCAACTAATCTGGTGGTAGGCTTAGAGTTATTGTCCATTTAGAAGATAAATTTCTTCCCCGCCTATAACATCCCAGGTTTATTCCCTGATGTCTTGAGATGTTGCGTATATATATTTGCTCATGTTGTCTTTATGATACCTTCTGTGTTTTGTGAACTTGCACAGTTCCTCGGTCAGCTAAAAAGCGACCTGATACAGTTATATCAAAACATAAGTTGATTTTGATTCATGGGATGAATATCAATAGTCAGTTTTGCTGTGACAAAAAAAATTAATAAATAATTTTTTTTCCTTTAAGAAATGACCCCATAAGCTGTCTATATAATTTTTTCTGAAACACGTGTCTAATAAAAACTTGTCAACGGTAATCACAGTTTTACTTGTCTTAATCTTTTAAAAAATGTTGATTTATACACATTTTTGTATCATCCATGTAATTAAAAAGTACTTAAAGAGTTGAGTGCAAAGATAAATAACGAGATGAATTTAGCATATTAACAAAACCAAACCAGTTTTTTTCTTATTTGGTCTGCCAGCATGAATGTAAATCTTAGGGATTTACATTAATTCTGGTAGAACGGATAAAAAAAACAAAAAACTGTGGAGTTTTATTTATTTTTCCAAATAAATTATAAGGTAAAACATGCTTAATTAACTTTTTTTTTATAGAATATGAACCAGGTAAAGCTAAAATGATGCAACTTTAGGAATTCAGGAATAAGTTTGATTACAGAAAAATACAATTTTCCTAATTTAATTTTGGCTTAATTACAGCCGTGAGATTTTTGTTATCTCGTCAAAATGTATGCTTAAATGTCTTTATACTCGAGTAAAAAGTTATTTGAATTCAAAGTTAATTGTCGGTTGATTAATCTAGAGTAATATGATTAACTGTGTCAGATGAATAACGTCCATAAGGCAAGTGCAGACATGCAGAATCTAACATGCTTGCACTCTTTTCTGTTTTCAAATTAATAGCTACGGGCAACAGATTGCACAGAGAAAAAGCAGGGCAGAATACAAGGTAGTTCAAAATAAGTCCCACTTTTCATTTATCCGTCTTTCTAATGTTGTTCACCTGCCTTTTCAAATGTTGTTTCATCATTACTAGCCGCACAAAGTAGTTTATTGTAAACCGTTAACCAAAGCTGATTGCAATTATTGACATTATCTGGTAATCTGTAATTTAAATGCAATCACATAATCTAGGGGGTGAAGTTTTAAATTATTATAGCACTTAAAGCAAGTCCATCAGATTTATCTTTATAATAGAAAAGTAAACATTTTTTATAAACCAGTTTAAAAGGGGTTCCATAAATGTGAAAGAAAACGCTGTTGTTGGTACAGTAAAAGTGAAAAAGTGACAATATTTTTAATTTAAAAAACTCACATAAAAAACGGCATCTTGAATAGTTTACTGTAATTGATCATTTCTACAAAATGCTTGAGAAAAATTTGTTTTTGTTATTTTTAATTACTGCAAATATTTTCTGCACTGTCAGCCAATGAATCAACAATAGTAAATCAAGATACACAGCTGTAGCGGTTTTACAAAGAAGTCAAACTTTAGCATTTTAATGCCTATAGGCTTATCGACAGTAAGCCTCAACTTTTTTTTCTTCCCTTTCCTATACTATAAAACTTTTGCATTTTATAAAATGAAAAAAAAAACAGTCTGTAACTTAGAAAAGCTTTCTCCCTCCTTTGATGAGACTGTGTACAGTCTTTGACAAACCCTGTATGCGTAGGATTCTCTACTGTGAAAGTAAATCAAAAACAAGCGAAAAACAGCTCGGAGTTTGGTATTTGGATTTAAGATCTGTGCACTGCTCTGTATAAATAAAATAAAAAAAAAAACAGAACACAGACAGTTGGAATTCTTTGATGACCTCTGTATGTTACTATTGTTACATATGGTTGAAGGTCTAGCCATTTTTAACTGATGAAGGTGAATATATTACACTCTAATAATGTCTCAAAGCAAAAATGTATTTGCAGAGAAAGTCAATATTTGTGAAAATCTTGGTTCAACTCTATAAGTAGTGTAGATGAGAGGAGAAAAGGTATCATCTGAAGAGGCTTAGAGTACAATCTATGGTCCTTTACTTCAAGATGTGTGAGTTAAGGTTGTCCTAATATTTCATCTCAAGGCATAGTAGGCTCCTCCATTTTGAGGCAATCAAGGTGTACAGTTAAAGCCTGGCATGGATGGATGGATGGATGGATGGATGGATGGATGGATGGAAGGTTGGATGGATGGATGGACGGACGGACGGTTGGATGGATGGATGGATGGATGGATGGACGGACGGTTGGATGGATGGATGGACGGACGGTTGGATGGATGGATGGACGGACGGTTGGATGGACTGATGGATGGACGGACGGACGGTTGGATGGAGTGATGGACGGTTGGATGGATGGATGGATGGACGGTTGGATAGATGGATGGATGGATGGACGGACGGACGGTTGGATGGATGGATGGATGGATGGAGAGATGGATGGATGGATGGACGGACGGTTGGATGGATGGATGGATGGATGGATTGATGGATGGACGGACGGATGGTTAGATGGATGGATTGATGGATGGACGGACGGATGGTTAGATGGATGGATGGACGGTCGGACAGTTGGATGGATGGATGGATGGACGGACGGTTGGATGGATGGATTGATGGACGGACGGTTGGATGGATAGACGGATGGACGGACGGTTGGATGGATGGATCGATGGATGGACGGACGGACGGATGGATTGATGGATGGATGGACGGATGGTTAGATGGATGGATGGACGGTTGGATGGATGGATGGATGGACGGACGGATGGACGGTTGGATGGATAGACGGATGGACGGACGGTTGGATGGATGGATCGATGGATGGACGGACAGACGAACAGACGGTTCGACGGATGGATGGATGGATGGACGGATGGATGGATGGACGGACGGACGTTGGATGGATGGACGGACGGACGGATGGATGGATGGACGGATGGTTGGATGGATGGATGGACGGACGAACGGAGGAACGAACGGACGGTTGGATGGATGGATGGATGGACGGACGGATGGATGGACGGATGGTTGGATGAATGGATGGATGGATGACCGGATGGATGGACAGACGGACGGACGGTTGGATGGATGGATGGCCGGATGGATGGACAAACGGACGGACGGTTGGATGGATGGATGGACGGACGGATGGATGGTTGGATTGATGGATGGTTGGATGGATGGATGGATGGTTGGATGGATGGTTGGTTGGATTGATGGATGGTTGGATGGATGGATGGATGGATGGATATGTTGTGATGTGTCTGAGGCCTGACATGTTACTATTATTGTGTCTGTTAGGTTGTCGACCTGTTTGATTATAACCCATTTGTTACATCAGGATTAAAGAGTTAGACCAGTCATTTCATATTTATTACTTTTTGTTATCACATCTGGGTGATTTAATTGTTTTGCTTTTTTGTCTTTTGTATATTAAGAGTAACACAATTAAGAAATTGTTAACTTTTTTAAAATAAAAGTCAGTTAATGGTTGTGGTCCTATTTACTCATATTTAGAAGCAAAAGACCCTTTTGATTTAAACTGTGATGGTCAGTCATTTTTTTTCTTCCAGATTGTTAAACTGGGGTTTGGGATAAAAATCATTCCAAATGCCACACATTGCCCATTGGTTGGTCTCTAAAAGATTTTTAGATGTAATGATTAAATGTGTTGTAAGTAATGTTTGGACTAGCCTTTATATTTCAGCTTCTATTCAATGATATTCTTGGACTACATTTAAATCCTGCAATATTATTTGGACCTTTAATTATGCACCTTCCTTCATTGATAAGCAAATCCAGTGAGGTTTCACAGTCAGAAATCAGAGACTTTGCTTGCTCAGGGTCTCCTGCGGTGCTTAAGCTTTTCGTGTGTTTGAAGTCTGGTCAAGTAATGTGATTTATGTGTTGCCCCGAAGGCAAACAACTTAGCTACATGACAATAACCACAAATTAGACGTGACAACCCTTAATGCTCTATTTCCAGATTGGCTGCAAAGTTACAGTGTTGCTCTTCATCTACTTTCTGGCAACCAACTACTATTGGATCCTGGTGGAAGGCCTCTACCTGCACAGCCTCATTTTCATGGCATTTCGCTCTGATTCCAAATACCTCTGGGGATTCATATTCATTGGATGGGGTAAGGAGCTGAAGTAAAATTTTTCATACCATAAAAAAAAAAAAAAAATACATAGTTAAACCACAAGGATTGTAAAACAGCAATGCACTGTTGAAGGTTTAGATGTTTTATCCAAATACACATAATATTTCTTTAGAATAATGGTTGATTTTAGTTCAACATTTTTGAGAAATTTTAGAATTTCTCTGCTAAGCTCTGCATGTTTTAGCACATTAAAAGTTGTGGATCTTGAAAAGGAGCAGATCAGACGTTTAAGTGGTTAGCCTTTAAGTCATGTTCTTGAAACAGAGCAGCTTAAAACCGTGGAAGCTGTGTCTTAATGAGATAACATGACTCTCACTAAGATACAAGAAGAAACGACACAGTTAAGATTAAAAATCAAAATGAAGGAAGGCCCTGATGGTACAGCTCTCTCAGGGGACTTGACCAGCTAATCTCATTTGTCTATGTTAGAGCCTCCTGCTTTGACATTATCGAAGCTGTGGACTCTCTCTATAATTGAATGGAAAAAGATCTTTAAAGAAAAAGAATCAGGAAAATTATAAAGGTTTGAAATAACATTTCTGTCATAGGTTGTCTTATCCAATGTCATGTAGTCCTTGTCTTAAAGGCCCATTAGCATTCAGCATTCATTAGGTTGGAAGTTTTAAATTTAAACGGTGTGTATTGCATAATTTGTTTGCAATCAGTTCAAATTGCTTTTGATGCAGACTGACTCGTTGCATCCTATTTGCAGAAATCATTAGTGCTGCATTGTTTAATCTACTCAAGTTAGTGTTCATGTTGAGATTTTGAATTAAAATGTTTGCTTTTAGAAATGTTTCTAAGTGACTGAAGCATTTTTTGGCCAGTTAAGTATATGCCAGCTATATATATTGTCATTTAAGGAATCTGACCCACATGCAGAGAAAACACTCAGAGAACACGGAGAAAAGTTTAACAGGTTTATTTGATGCAATGTGAACAGTGGTTGGATCTGAAACTCAGTCAACAGATGAACCGGAGCTGGTAAGTCTGAAGGGGAGATCACAGAGATCAGTTCAGGGACTGTGGGAAAAGACACTGTGGCTTGAATTATGCAGGAGTGGGGCTCACGTTTGAGTAGGGCTGGGTATTGTTCAAAAATTTCCGGTTCCGGTACCAATACCGATACCTTCACTTCGATACCGGTTCCTGAACGATACTTTTTTCGATACCAGTTTTATAATATCAATTCGAAGAAAAAGAAAATTACACAACATAAAAAAGTACAAATCTTGAGTTTTATTTTAAGCTCTGATTTTTCCATTTACATTTTTCCTCTTACATAAAAAAAAAAAATCAGTGTCTAATATTCACTGTTACATTGTGAGGACCTTTTTACTTAGCAGTTTTCCTTCAGAAAAATGACCATGTCTGACAAACAAGCCCGTTGAATGGGATCCTACTGACAGCACCACTGGTATGTGGGGGTCTGAGCGGCTCCCACAGAAATATTGGAAGGCAGGATGAACTGACTGCACTGATTAAATTTTCAGGTGGATTTTCCCGCTTAAAAACATAATAAAACTACTTTATTCCCACTGATCACAGCAAATATAGCTGCAAGGCAAATAAAGAATAGAGTAGCTCCGCCCAACGCGCGTCAGAGCCACTTTTCGACCGCGCAGCCAGAGCAGCAAAGCTTCTTCAGCCGCGCGTCAGAAGCTGGTATAAGCAGCAAAAAGGAAGCAGCAGATGTGATTTTGCTGCTCCTGCTGCGTCCAGTTTGAAAGCAGCCTGATTCCCTCCGCTCTGGCTTTGCTCCGCCCACGGGCTGCTGAGAGGAGGATGGTCGCGCCGGCTGCGGTCCGCTCTTCTTGCAGTCAAACACCGAGCAACTTTCTGCTCTTAAATTGTTTTCGTGCACGATGTATTGCATTGCGCACTATTGGCATCAGTCTTAATAAAGTGAAGCCGCACTTTTGACCTGGGGGGCATTTTAAAGGGGTTCCACGACGCTGCAACCAGTTCACAAAAGATACACATGAACCCTGGCTGTAGGCGGGACCACCTGTGTATTTTTCCTGGATGACGCAATCACGTTAAGTGTTACAGCCAATCACCGAAACTTGGTACCGAAAGACGAGGCATGTTTCGATACTCTGTAGAACCGAAGCATTTCGGTCGGTACCATAAAAGAACCGATGTTCGGTACCCAGCCCTACGTTTGAGGGGGGCTCTTGTCAATCCTTGAATCCAGTCTCTGTGGGTTTATCCACAGAAGAGGGAACTCGTTTGAGAGCGGACAGGTAGCCATACGTTGGACCTGGAGGAGTAATGGAGTGGACTGTCACTTGAATTTCCGATTGGAACTTGAACCGATCATGTGGAAGTTTTCCCCTGCTCAGTCTGAACTCAGTAAATCCTTCCAGGGGAAGAAGGTCCAGGTTATCCAGTGACACAGGAAGGCTTCCTGCCGAAGAGCAAAGACAAAAAACAATATAAGACTCAGAGAAACAAAGGCTCAGGTTAGACTCAGCTAATCTCAGCTTGGCTAGAGTACCCAAAACTGGCAAAAACTCTGGTGTCGAGGTAGTGACAGCCCGCTGCTCAAGTACTCCTACAGTAATGAGCCAACGAGCCGCAGGTGTGCAGGGAGGACCAATGAGGACAGGGCACCACCTGGTGGTGAAGAGAGAAGGGACACACAAACAACCCACACAAACTGGATTCCTAACATATACAGGTGCTGGTCATAAAATTAGAATATCATGAAAAAGTAGATTGATTTCAGTAATTCCATTTAAAAAGTGAAACTTGTATATTATATTCATACATTACATACAAACTCATATATTTCAGATGTTTATTTTGTTTAATTTTGATGATTACAAATGACAACAAATGAAAATCTCAAATTCATCATATCAGAAAATTAGAATATTACTGAAGACCAATAAAAACAAAGGATTTATAGAAATGTTGGCCAACTGAAAAGTATGAACATGAAAAGTATGAGCATGTACAGCACTCAGTATTTAGTTGGGCCTCCTTTGGCCTGTATTACTGCAGCAATGCGGCGTGGCATGGAGTCGATCAGTCTGTGGCACTGCTCAGGTGTTATGATAGCCCAGGTTGCTCTAATAGTGGCTTTTAACTCTTCTGAATTGTTGGGTCTGGTGTATTGCATCTTCTTCTTCACAATACCCCATAGATTTTCTATGGGGTTAAGGTCAGGAGAGTTTGCTGGCCAATTAAGAACAGGGATACCATGGTCCTTCAACCAGGTACTGGTAGCTTTGGCACTGTGTGCAGGTGCCAAGTCCTGTTGGAAAATGAAATCTGCATCTCCAAAAAGTTGGTCAGCTGCAGGAAGCATGAAGTGCTCTAAAACTTCCTGGTATGTGGCTGCGTTGACCCTGGACCTCAGAAAACACAATGGACCAACACCAGCAGATGACATGGCACCCCAAACCATCACTGACTGTGGAAACTTTACACTGGACTTCAAGCAACGTGGATGAAGTGCCTCTCTTCTTTTCCTCCAGACTCTGGGACCTTGATTTCCAAAGGAAATGCAAAATTTACTTTCATCAGAGAACATGACTTTGGACCACTCACCAGCAGTCCAGTCCTGTTTCTCTTTAGCCCAGGCAAGACGCTTCTGACGCTGTCTGTGGTTCAAGAGTGGCTTGACACAAGGAATGCGACAGCAGAAACCCATGTCTTTCATACGTCTGTGTGTGGTGGTTCTTGAAGCACTCACTCCAGCTGCAGTCCACTCTTTGTGAATCTCCCCCACATTTTTGAAGGGGTTTTGTTTCACAATCCTCTCCAGGGTGCGGTTATCTCTCTTGCTTGTACACTTTTTTCGACCACATCTTTTCCTTCCCTTCGCCTCTCTATTAATGTGCTTGGACACTGAGCTCTGTGAACAGCCAGCCTCTTTAGCGATGACCTTTTGTGTCTTGCCCTCCTTGTGCAAGGTGTCGATGGTCGTCTTTTGGACAACTGTCAAGTCAGCAGTCTTCCCCATGATTGTGTAGCCTATAGAACTAGACTGAAAAACCATTTAAAGGCTTTTGCAGGTGGTTTGAGTTAATTAGCTGATTAGAGTGTGGCACCAGGGGCCATCAATTTTGAACCTTTTCACAATATTCTAATTTTCTGATATGATGAATTTGAGATTTTCATTTGTTGTCATTTGTAATCATCAAAATTAAACAAAATAAACATCTGAAATATATGAGTTTGTATGTAATGTATGAATATAATATACAAGTTTCACTTTTTAAATGGAATTACTGAAATCAATCTACTTTTTCATGATATTCTAATTTTATGACCAGCACCTGTATATTGGGTACCAACCTACTATACTGAATATATTGTTCAGTATTTATTTCCTTTTTTTTCTTTTGTCATAACTTCTGTATTTTTTTTCCAGCCATTTAGCTGGGTTTTTGTGGATTACTTTATATGTTCATTGACCCTGTTTACTATTTTTGGTAAATTTGTCTGTTACCTTTTTGTTCTATTAGTACTTTTGAAGTGGGTACTTTACTAATGTACCACCTAATACTGCTATCTGATAATGCATATTCAGAAATTTTAAGAAAGAGTAACAAAACAACAACAAAAAAAAAGCATTTAGTCAGCCACCAATAGTGCAAGTTCTCCCACTTAAAAAGATGAGAGAGGCCGGTAATTTTCATCATAGATATACCTCAACTATGAGAGACAAAATGAGAAAAAAAAATCCAGAAAATCACATTGTCTGATTTTTAAAGAATTTATTTGCAAAATATGGTGGAAAATAAGTATTTGGTCAGTTACAAAAGTTCATCTCAATACTTTGTTATATACCCTTTGTTGGCAATGACAGAGATCAAACGTTTTCTGCATAATGGAGGCTAAAAGGCAGATTTGAAATAGCACCGCAAACGTAAAGCTATGACAACTAGATCTAAAATTCCACAACAGAACACAAACTTGCCTGAGGGAATAAAGAATAAAACATCAATCTGCGACACAAACAA